CCAAAGCACTGTCTGGTGGATTAGGGCATGGTTGACTGACCGAAAGCAGAAGGTAACCATTAGTGGGGAATCATCGGGATGGTGGCCAGTGACAAGTGGGGTCCCCCAGGGCTCTGTCCTGGGGCCGATCCTGTTTAATCTTTTCATTAATGACATGGAAGAAGGGGTGAACAGTCTGCTGATCAAATTCACAGGCGACACTAAAACTGGAGCAGTGGCCGCAACTAAGGAGCAGGTAGTCCAGATCCAAAAGGATCTGGACAGACTATGGAAGTGGACAGGAGGCAACAGGATGGCATTCAATGTGGATAAGTGCAAGGTTTTGCATTTGGGGCATAGGAATAGCTGTCATAAGTACAGGTTAGGTGACAAGTGGCTGGAGAGCAGCACTTGTGAAAGGGACCTCGGTGTACTGGTTGACTGCAGGCTAAACATGAGTCAGCAGTGTGATGCGGTGGTCAAGAGGGCGAACGCCATCCTTGGTTGCATAGCCAGAAGTGTGGCTTCTAGATCAAGAGAGGTATTACTCTATACGACTCTGGTGCACCCGCAACTGGAGTATCGTGCTCAGTTTTGGGCCCCTCATTACAGAAAGGATATAGCCAGGTTAGAGTAAGTGCAGCATAGTGTCACAAGGGTGGTGGCCGGTTTGCAGGGGATGGGATATGAGGCGAGACTGAGGGAACTGAGTCTCTTCAGCCTGGAGAAGAGGAGACTCAGAGGGGATATGCTGGCGACATACAGGTATGTGAGGGGATGTCACACGGAGATGGGTGGAAACCTGTTCTCCCCTGCAGAGGAAGGCAGGACATGCTCCAACGGAGCAAAGCTCAGAGAGCCAAGCTTTCGTTTGGATGTCAGGAAGCACTTCCTGACAGTCAGGACCCTGAGGGTGTGGAATGGGCTTCCACAAGAGGTTGTTGAGGCCCCATCGGTGCGGGTGTTCAAAGATAGGCTGGACGTGCACATGGTGGACATGTCATGAGCAGAGCTGGCTGGTGCTGGAGGTCAGACTGGATGGCCCGGGAGGCCCCTTCTGACTCGCTCTGTTTCTCTGTTTCTATGTTTCTATCCTCACAAAGCCTTCCTTTTCACACAGCTGTTAAAGTTATGAGAAACCTCCAGTCACCTTGCTTAGCATGGTTAATAGTGTTGGAGCCCTGGGGAGCTACTGTGAGCATCAGTGGCCATTGTCCACAATCTTTCTTACAGCATGCAGAATAATATCTCCTTGAAATAGTTTATTGAAAAAAGAAACTATTGTCATTCATGTTTGAAGCTGATTTATTTTTTTTTCAGCTTCTTTTAATTTGTCATGTGTTAGAAATGCCCCATTACTCCTCCGTTTGGATGCAAAGATATATTGATTATTGTTTTGACACAGAGCTATCTTTTGGTTAAAAATAACAAAAGTTGCTTTCAGTTATCTTGGTTCAGTTTCCTAGAGAACTGTTCCATAATTGCTCTGGAAATTGCCCACTAATTTCAGCAAAGTTAACTTTGGAGTTTCTTGGAAAATTGTATAAAATCGTGAAGTAGATCTCTTCCATTTAATACCATTTTAACTTCTCATCTTAATTTAATCAATTTGTTGGGTAGTGATTTTTTTTCACTGCTAGTTATTTTTCTTTTAATTGAAAATGTCCGTTCACCTCATCCTTAAATTTGGTGTGCTCTTTGATTAATGGTCCTCTGGAAGAAAACCAATATCAGTCAATTGATTCGATCCAGCTATAGTTGTGGACAACTAAGTGTATATAACAACCAGTAGTCCAGGATGCATTTTCTCCTTTTTATCAACCCACATATTCATCCAGTTCAGGAGAACACAGAAAAGCATCACATTGTGGATGAAAAATATGTACCTATCTGTGCTACTGTGCATTATTTAAGAAATAAGATTCTTCTCTGACCGTTGAAAGATCATGAACATTGATCAACCAAGCGCAAATTAGAATTTCATTTGGAAACAAAGATGTTAGTCAGACCATAGTTACTGTTGCCTTAGCTGCTGCAAAACAATGGTAAACCTTTTCTGTTTGTTACATAGTAGATTGTATCCTACCTGGAGGAACGTTCTTCCTTATGAGAGAATTGCTTTGTGCGGCATAAATTTTAAGCTTGCTATTTATACTTCTGTTCCATGCTTAGATCAATTTATTTATTGTTTAAGTGGTTAGTTTGGTCTGACATTTTCTTGTTATGGCTCATGGCTAAAGCAAATAAAACTGAACTGAACTGAACAGAACAGAACAAAATGGATATACACCTACATTGGCAACCCATGCAGAAGATCACTTAACCATGCAAATTACTCTTGCTGTATCGGGGTTAATTTTGCATTCTTTTGCATTTTGCATCTGATTAAAAAAAAAACCTAAAATAGCAATGCTTTTCTGGGCCCGACAAAAGTCCTGCATGTGTGATGTCTTGATGGATGTGTGATTTGCTCCTCCAATCTCTTCACTAAGGTGGGAAGCTATGTTCTTACCTTTGTTCTTGTGGGTATGGGAATAAGCACAAAGTATCACAAGATCTCCTGCCAACCTTGCAGTTTGAAAGCATATAAATGCAAGTAGATAAATAGATACCACTTCGGTGGAAGGTAACAGCATTCCATGCACCTCGGTGTTTAGTCATGCTGGCCACATGACCACGGAGACTGTTTGCAGTCAAACACTGGCTCCCTTGGCTAGGAAATGGAGATGAGCACCACCCCAAGAGTCAGACATGACTGGACTTTAATGGCATGGGGATACCTTTACCTTCCTTACCTTTTAAGCACAAGATCAGACTGTTTTGATTTATTTATCCAGTTGTTTATTTATAACAATTATTTCCCACTTCATAAATAATCCCAAAGTAGGGTACAGAAGTCAACAATATGCAGTATTTTATCAGTGTGGTAGGGGTGGATTTCAGTGAAACTAGGCTGATATTTTCAGTCATGTACATAACTCACTATGGGCCAGCTGTAAGTATTGCCAATTCTAAAAAAACTGAACTAGGTGTATGATATTTACAGACAAATGCTCAGTGATGGAAAACTTGCTTTGCCTGCATAATAACCCAAGAAAAATCATGCTGGATCAGACCAAATGTCTATCTAGTAGAGCACTCCATACACATGGTGGCAACCTGGCTGTCCAAAAGATCTCAGGATGAGTGCAAGACCTCCACCTGCCCAAGCCCTCACCAACTGGTTTCCACCGCCAGTAACGGAGGAAGCACATAGCTACCAAGGCTAGTGGCCACAGATAGCTTCCTCCTCCATGAATCTGTCCAATCTCCTTTTAAAACCAGTCAGATTAGTGGCCATCATCACTTCCCATGGCAGTGAACTCCATAGTTTAACTATACACTGGGTGAAGAAGTGATTCCTTTTATCTGTCCTAAACCTTCCGCTAGTCAGCCTCATGAGATAACCCTGGGTTGGAGTGTTACAGGAGAGGGAGAAAAATTTCTCCCTTTCCACTTTCTCCACACTGTGCATTATTTGTAACATGATGTCTCCCCTTACTCATCTTTTTTCTAAGCCAAACAGTTCCAGTTGTTGTAGCTGCTCCTCATAGGGGAGTTGCTTCAACCCCTTGATAACTTTTGTTGCCCTTCTCTGTACTTTTTCTAGTCTCAGGTTTAATCTCTGGCATTTCCAGGTATTGCAGGAAAACCTCCTGCCTGAAACCCTGGAAAACCACTGCCTGCCAGTTTCAACAATATGAGGCTGGATGGATGAAGGTTCCAACTCAGTATAAGGCTTTTCCTTATGTTCCCCCATTTCTTTCTTTCTACCTTGTGATGAGCAGCCATTTTATGTCCCATGTTGTGCTGTAGATATTGTCAAACTTGGTCTGGCACTCTAATCCCCTCTCAGCAATGATGATGCACACTAAGTGACCTTGGACCAGTCAGCCTCTCCTAAGGCTGTTCTAAGGATAAAATGGAGGGGTGAGAAACATATATATCACCTTGAGCTGCTTGGCACAATGGCAGAAAATAAAAGGAAATGGGTCGCATTTATTCTGAACTTAATGTCCAATGTCGCTTGCAACCCAAGGAGATGAAAACCATTTTTGTGCACTTTTCAGAGCTAAGTGAATGCTAACCTTGACCTGTTTGCTTATTATAATGTCTGATTATGAGATGACATAAAGTTAGTACTGGAACATTGGAGGCACTATTCTCTGCAAGTTTTGCCAGAAATTATGTTGCCTGGGTCGTGCTGGGAGTTATAGACTTTTTTCTGTCTAAACTTACATAACACTCTGCACCCTCACCAGCAAAAAAGATGAGTTGACTTATTCTGAAGTCTGATACCTTAGTACTTCATTTTCTATCTGTTTTCATCTTGTCTGTTTTAATCTCCTTTCTATCAGCTGCTCTCTTGAATACCATTGCTTGAATTTCATGCATACAGCAACTTAGTATGGGAGAAACAAACACAGAACTGGCTTCATTTCCTGATGAGCTTGTTGGTACACATGATTCAGGGAAAGCAATGTCTATTATAGCGTTATATGTTAATCTTTAATTATTGTGCATTATATTTCAGATAGGAAAGGAACATTCAGGCCTAAAGGCTGTGACTGAAATTCTGCAAGACATCCAGTACAAGGTAAAGCATTATTCAAGAGAAGAAGAAATTATATGGTGCCAATTTAAACTCATTCAAAAAGAAAGATGGAACGTCTGTGCATACTATTGCTCAAAAGCCCACCCTCCTCATTCTACAATATGTATGCTTTCTGTATTATGACTTGGGTTTATTGAAGTGCTCTTGTGAATAATAGCATATGAAGTTTAGTAGCACAGGTAATAATTCTCCATTGCTTAAGAACATGTTGAAGTGACATGATTATTTAGTTATTCTTACTAGTTTTTTGGTTTAATTTCTCATGTCCAACCTTCCCGAGAAAAGCTTTGTGTCCAAGGAAACAAAAAATAAAAACTAGATTAAAACAATTAAAACAATAATAACAAATAAATTATGCACACAATTATAAACAATGCAGACAGCACAGAAGAGCCACCCAGAAGGCCTTCTCTAGCATCTCCATCAAATAGGCCTCTGAGAAATTAAATCAAAAATACAATCCAAATTTCACTGTCCCCTTTTCAAGGCTAGTTCAATCCCATTTACTTCAATGGGACTTCATTTTTAGTCATACAGCATGCACACAGAGTAAAAATGAAAGGGTGGGGGTGGGGGGAGAGAGAGAGAGAGACATTGAGATTGAAATTCCTGTAATCCTATACAGTCTGGAAGATTTGCATGACACAGTGAGGCACACTGCATGAAATGCTGTGCAGTGTGACTTAAAAGCCACCCTACTGCTTAAAAACACCTGGAAGACAATGAGACACACTATGAGAAAAGCTGTGCAAGGTAGCTTATAAACTGTCCTTTCCCCCAGTGCACCCAAGAGGCAATTGAGATCATGAGTAGGGTGTGACCCCATGCTCCCTTGTTCCTTCCACAGGTAACCTCAGGAGCACCAAGGTGTTTTCCCCTCCCTGCCATCACTTGTCAGCAATGGCAATGGAGGGAAGGACAGGGATCATTGACAGCCCTTATTCCACCTCATCGGTGGACTGTGTGAGCTGGTTGAGGGCTGCTGGCACAACTCCTTCTTGCTGTTACTGTGCACTTGTGAGCAACAAAGAGAAGTTGATATTTCTCATCCTGGCTTTTGAGGAGTCCTTGCATGCATATAAGCTGATGTTCCTCCCCTGATGTTTGACCTGCATCACTGTTGCCTACAGCCGAAAGGGCTGGTGGCAGAAGTGATGTGGCACACACAAGCAGTCACAATTGGCCCAGCTGCCTGCTAAGTTACCTGAGTCGATCACTGGACCACACCACACCACTGTAATTGGTGATCCCAGCTTTCCCACTCTGGCAGAAGTGCAGGATTGGGCAGACAGCTTCTGTCAACTGCTTGGGCACTTTGGGGGAAGTTACCATTGTGTTTGTCCAGCAGCCACTTGGCAAGACTGGTAAGGATTTCTTGCTGCTCTCACCAAGCAGCTCTGTAGTGGTTTTGGTTAGCCCAGGGTTATTATGTTGTCCAAGTTCAGGTGACATGAAAACCTGTAGGGTGACTATCAAATCCTACAACAAGCTGTGGGCTGCCAGGGTGGTCTATAAACCCAGAAACTGGACTAAATAATCCATGGCATATTTGCATGACTTGACCACTCCTCCAGCCAGGGGAATTGATGTGTCATATGAACCCCATCACTTACTTGGCAAGAACCCATTGAATTGAATGGAACTTACTTCCATGTCTGTAGACATGGAAAAGATTGTACTGTCAGAGAAAACTAACATTTTCAAAGAATGGTATTAAAATCATAGACCAGGTGGAAGAAATAAATAATTTATTTGAAAAGAATACTTTGTCTCAAGAATTGGACAGTTGGGTCACTCCTAATGCCAACTAAATTCAAATGATTGAACATTGGCCAAAAGGTATTGGATTGGGAAGAAAATCCAAAAGCTTTGGAAGAATATTAGAATCAAGTTGCAAGTTTCTGTAGGTCATAGAGAGTAAGCCTCATTATATCAGTAGGAGGAAACATAGATTGACAATTGCCAAGGCAAAACTAGGGATAATTTCTGGGAGATTATTGTAGTTAGATAACTAGTTTTATTGCTTTTATTTCCTTCAGTGCTACAGCTTGTTAGTGTGGAGTTTGTTTACTTACCCATTATGGCCCACTTTTCATGGAACATAAAACCCTCAAATTATTTCTGTTTCTTTTAAGAACTAGAGATAAGGCTAATTTCTGTTAAATTTTCAGGGGAAGTCCAAGACAATACCTTGCTTTAATCCCAACACACTACTACCAGGTAAATGTTTATTTCTATGCCAAAAAAGTGTATGCACAGTTAACTTTCATTTCAGTTTTAAACTGCTCATGTGCCTTCTGTATCTTTATAAATCCTTTGGCAGCCTTTCAGTCTGAACAACACTCTTAACATAACTGGATTACCAGGAAAGATAGCTCTGAACATAGTGTATCCCATTTAAGCAGCAGAGATGATGAATGGTGTCTGTCAGCCCAGTACATATTGAGTTACATTTGTATTTTTCACAGTGATGAGTCATTGCTCTTAAAATACCTGTCTCTGCATTGCATCAAAGTATAATTCCAACAGAATTCAGGCAGCTGGCAATTATAGCCTGCTTCTGATCATTATATTGTATATTTACAGTGCAGAATATTTTAGAATGCTTATCTTCTTTGTCTTTGTCAAAGGTGAGTTGCTATTCTTCCCATGTCATGGATGGATGGACATCCAAAGTTGTATTACCTACAGGAATTTGTCTTACACTGAGCCAGACCACAGGCTCATTTACCCCAGTATTGTCAACACTGATTGGCAGTGCCTCTCCTGAAGGTCAGGCAGGATTCCTTCTGAGGTTTCTCTGTAGATGCTGAGGATTGAATCTTGGACCTTCTGCATGTAAAGTATGTGTTCTGTTACTGCTCTACAGCCCTTCCTCATTTTCCAAATGCATAACTGAAAGATACAAGGTTATAGCAAGGTAACAGAGACCAAGGCAAAATATAGGCTTGGAAACCACCTTATTCACCCCTTCTTTCCACAGATTTTATCAGTACACAACACAGTATATTTAGGTACATGGAATATTGACCAAATAGTAGTTTAGTAATAATGGTGATTAAATTAATTATAAGTGCTGCTGATTCACTAGCCAGGCAATCCTACTTTAAAGGAATGCAAAAAGAATGCAGTTTCAGAAAATCACAAGTCACAGTATCTGTAAAACTTGTTTATAGTTACAAAAATTAAGACCAGGATTGACCAAACATGCACATGTTTAAAACGGAAGTCCCTTGATTATTCAATACTTAAACAGGCAGGCTACTTGAATGACTCCTTGTTTGTTTTCAGTGTGACGAATCTATCTGGTAAACAGTTAGCAAAGATTTAGTGACTCTTGACTAGTTTCTTTTCACTAAAGGTATGTTTGGCTGATAAGGTAATGTGATTGATCATACTTAACATAATGCATATGTTCAAATTTCCTGTGCTTTTGGCATGAATTTGTTTTAAGGCAACCAACATGAAGGATTAAAAAATGCCATTGCTGTTACACAGTCCTGAGCCTTATGACAGAAATTCCCACAGCGTTAGGACAAAGGTGGGCCAAGTGTTTTGAAATGGGTGTTGGGACCTCATTTTACTGCACTGTTCGGGACTTCTGCAGCTGCTTATTGCCTCTTTGCTGAGGAACATTCCAGGCCATTGGACTCTAATAGGCTGCAAACATTGCCACGGATATTGGAGCTTAGTCAACCTTCTTTGAGAGCAGGGGTGTTATTTGTCCCAAAGTACAGTCCTCAGCCAAAAAAGCACCACTGTACTTGAGCCCTCCAGTTCATTCATCAGTAATTTTGGGAAGAGGCTTTAATTTGATACTGTATCTCACTACCCTAAAAATTTAAGTAGGACATCCTGACCAGCATAAAGTTCTTTTCTCCACTAACCTTAGATAAAATGGACCAGTGCACTGGGTATCCTTAGCCTTGGGAACCTCCAGTCTATCCCCTTTCCATGTACATATCTGTCAGAAACAAAGGGAATGCAAGTCCAAAGTGACACAGCAGAAAGTGACATTAAAAACATGTTTGTAGGTTGCATTCAGCTTACATGTGGCATGGACTTTCCATCTAACAGTAAATTACCAGACAATGAGCATGATCAATATTTTGTTGTATCTAATTCACTTGGATGGAGACACAGAAATATATCTACAGAACTGTGTTCAAATATATTTATTTATCACAGTTATTATAAATCCCATTTGGATTCAACTCTTCATATGGGCAGATGCTACTCCCAGATATCAAGGTGATTGTTCCTTTGATTTATACTGTTTATAAAACTGCTGAACTCATGGAAAGGACTGTGTTTCTAAATTTTCATCTTTAAAGTGTTGGAGAGGGAAAAGTGGGGAGAGATGTGATCTTAATTGGCACCAGATTGGCCCTCCTACTCATTTCTCATGGTCAGACCTCCTGGATGTAGGGAAAGCCCTTGCTTTGGGGTTGCATGGGGAAGACTCAGACTGGTGAGAGACAGACAGGGGAAAGATATTGATGGAGGAAAGATAAAGTATTGCAGAGGAATTCACAGCCCTTATCAGACCCGACTTGAAAACTTCATTAGTATACCTTCTGATCTAGCATGGTAACCAATGCACCAGCCTAACGCATCCATTTTTTTTCTGGGATATGGTTTGGAGAGGAACTTCCTCAAGGAAAGTCTCTGATGTCCCCAGTATGTGTTGCTCTCGATGGTCTCTACCTGACACAGTTCTAGACTTTAGAAAGGAAGTGCTGGATCATACCCTTAAATCTAAAGATACAGGTACACAATATAAAGATGCTTTATTACTGTTTTCAAAGTAAGCTATCCATTTCATTTCAGACCCTCTGTTACGAGATTATTGGGTGTATGAAGGCTCCCTCACAGTTCCACCCTGCAGTGAAGGTGTGACTTGGATCTTATTTAGATATCCTTTAACTGTATCCCAACTTCAGGTAATATTTGTGCTTATGATACCCTTAGAATGTAATTCTAATTGAAAGGTTTTTTTTTAAATGGTCTCATTAGATCAGTTGTATCAGGCTAAATCTTTGAATCACCGAAAGCAACAAAAAGTTAGAAAAGAAAAACTGTTGTTAACATTTATCCCATATATTTGAAAATACCAGCAAAGAAAGGAAGGAAAGAAGAGCACCCCATGCCTCACACCCTCCAAAAAATTGCTGGGAAAACAAACAAATCCACCTCTTCATGGGTGTGGGAGCATGAACGGCAACTGCTGTGGCCAGGGGTGGGATGGGAGAAGTACAGCCTGTGGCCATGAGCTGCTACCACCATGCGGCTCTCCCTGCCAGCTGTTACCAGGTCCACCTGCCACCACCACTCACTTTCTCCTTAATATTTTGGTTCAGAAGATATGCAACATTGGTGGAAGATGGCCTTGGGTGCTGTCTGTGCCATGGCATCTCCAAGGTCTTCTCTCTTCCAATGCCATGTTTTGAAGAAACCCCCTCAGAATGAGGCTTTTGGGCTGGATGAGCTCAGTGGAAAGCCATTTTTAGCCAAATTCAGTTGAAATCGAGTGCCCTAAAATCCACCTTATGAACTACCTGGCAATCTGAGAATGCTATGCTAATGCTCCTTTCACATTGTATCACAGATCAAATTGAATGCTATGTGTCAAATCAATTCTCCTTTTGCCCTGAAGTACCCTTTTTATTTTAATAAATAACTCATTCACAAAAAAATCTCGGCCTAGCATGTGTAATATGGCACAATACAATGTGTATGTATTGATGGGGTAGAGATTGAGGGTCGTTCTACAATTAGAATTTACTGTGGGAATGCTATGATGCACTTCTTTTTCATGTCATTTATTTATTTAATTTCTATACCATCCAACAGCTGAAGCTATCTGAGTGCTCTACAAAGCACATTAAAAATGACCCAATAAAATACATCACTTTAAAGATATATTGAAATATTATTAAAAGTTTATAATACAAAAATAATTTTTAAAAATATCACCTTTTTGGTTACTGTCATTTCTCCCACCACCATGCATATTGACATTAACATCTGTATAAATATTTAAGCATGTTTTTATATGACATGAATATAATCAAGCAGTAGCATTTAAGGAAATATCCCATTTTAAAATGATTACTTGTTGCTGTTAAAGGTTCAGTAAAATAAGAGATTAAAAATGACTGCTCAGGTAAATGGTGCCTTCCTCATGTAGAATTTATGCAGCAAAATATAGTAGAATGTATGCAGCAAGAGAAGTCCTAAACACTTTGTAGAAAGTCAGTTGCAATTCTACTTGTAGCTTAACAGCAGAAGAGTAGTAACTAGGGAATACCAGAAGATGCTTGTCTAGTACCACCCAGAGAAAAATAGAAACAAAATCTTAGAAACATTTTCTTCAAATTGCCAACTAGAGGGAAGGTAATAGCTCAATTTGCAAATGTATACTTTATAGTAAACTAGATTCAACTTCTCTATTCTGGCAATTGATGACATTCAGTACTCCATTTGGACAATACACTTCGTTGTACCTACTGTTTGGTATTGTGGATGACATTGTAATTTGGGGTTAAACTAAAGAAGAGCACGATCAGTGACTACAGAAAGCCCTGAATAATAGTAGAGCTGAAAACCTGAAAGTGAACAGAGAGAAATGCATTTTGGTATTACAAAACTAACGTTTGTGGGAAACATTTGTCTGCTGAAGGTGTGACACCAGAAAGGAAGAAAACATGCCTATAAACATGATATCACATCCATGTTCCAAAAAGGAAGTTTAGCAATTTTGGGAATTATTAGGAATTTAGCCCCAGCTTGTCTTCAGAGGCTTCTTGAATAGAAAAACAAATGATGCTGGGATGCAGAATAACAGTCTTCCTGGAAAGTGTTAAAGAAACACTTAACAAACCAGCAGATGCCTCACAATCTGGATTGTGTGCTTTGATTACAAATATATGATAACTTTTGGCAACCGGTACCATATCTGTCCAAATCCCTTGCTGATGCAGAAATTAGATATACACAGATTGAGAAAGACCTACTTGGTTGTGAAGACCTAAGACTTACTTGTGAAGGTTTTATCCAATATATCCACAGATGCACAATGGTTATGGAAATGGATCATAAGCTCCTCATTGCTTTGTTCAGCAAACCATGAAATGATTGTGCAATGCAATGCAATAAATGATGATCAGACCACAGAGTTATGATTTGGCTGCAAAGTACACTCCACGCAAACTTTTGTTCACTTTGGATGCATTTTCAGGAGCTATTTCTCGTAGAGGAAAAGAATCTAGTGACATAAAGGCATGCTTGTGTGGACATTGTTATCACTTCCTGACCAGTGTTAAATAAAATTTGTGACAAACTGAAGATGAAACTGATACTGACCCTCCACTGCATGTTGTGAAACAAGTGTTGACTAGTGACTGATTTATAACAATGGACAGTTATTATCAACAAAGGCAACTGAACTTGTGCACATGAACTCATGATGACAGCTGGATTGTTCTTCAAAGGTAGCAAAGTGGTCATATGTAGAAGTCTCCATAAGGAAATGCTGTAGAAAATCCATGAAAGTCATCTAGATGTTGAGAAAAATGAGCATGAGAGCTGATGTATTGGCCTAGGTTTAATCACAATGAAACAGTTATGGAAACAGGTGGTTCACTTGTTTAAAATACTAGTCATATCAACAATCAGAACCTTTAAATCCACATTGTATTCCCCATATGGTCTACCTTAAGGTTGAACTTGACATTCATATGGCATTCCAAGGATTACTTAGTAGTCACAAACTATTACTTTGTTTATACAGAAATACACATATTGCAGAATACCACTAGTAAATTGTTTGTTGTATATGGTTGCTTTGTTTTTTGTTTTGTTTTGTTTTAGTTTGTTTTTGTAAGCTGCCCAGTGACTTTTAGTATAGGGACAGCATATACAAACTTTAAATAAATAATAATAAATAAATTAGTGATGGCAGCCTGATGACTTATGTAGATACGTATAAGATAGTGTACAGGTAGTATAGTTAAGTAGGAAAGATATTTTCCATGGAAAGCACTGATTTCATCTATTATAGTACTAATTTTATTATTCTGTTATCATTTAATAATGAAGGGGGAAGATGTATTGATAGAGTTTATACTTCACTGACACCCCCTTAGAATTGGTTATTTGAGAACTTGCCCTAAAGTCACATGGTTTGCATGGTTCAGTAGGCCTGTAGACTAATGTACAATAGATTCTCAGATGCATTTTAAATTAAAGTTATAGTGTAAGTTATTACCCATTCCTTTAATTTGTTCTGGACCCAGAAACATTACAAAAGCCCCCCTTTTTAAAACCATCTTTAAAGAATCTCCTACTTCTACACCTTTCCTTTCTTTCATCTTTTCAGTGCAAGCTGCTCCTTTCTTCCTTTCTGAACTGAAAAGAAACAATGTGGATTTCAAAAGTACTGCTCTAAGGAACAGAAAGTCCTTCTTAGCAACAGATGTTAGCTGTTCATCAAATGAACAGACCTAAAAAAGTCTGGTTTTATTACTTCAGAGTGTGCCATGGGCATCCATATTAGTGATTTCTCATTTGGAATGTCATTGAGAAATATGATGTCATTAGCTGTTATTCAGGCAACAATAATATCACAGTCACCTTAGCTGCACTGCTCTGGTGAATAACTTGAATCTGATCACATGATAAGTCACATGTAGAGCAGTCTCATATCTCCATGGTTTAGAGTAGGCCACCTTTTCTATGCACAATAAAATTGGCAGGCAGGCAAGAAGCCCTGAAAATGGAATAGAATGTACAGTGTAATTTATGGAAATTGCACTCACAGACACACACACGGTGATGGGGAGGGGGGAGAATGAGAGAGATGAACTAATGTGTGGCTCCCAAAGAAGCAGCTTTGGTTGGCGTGTGGGGAAAATGCCTGGGCAAGACTGTAGCTGTGGAGTATGGTATATTCTTTGCAGGCAGGTTAATCGGTGAAAGTTCTGTATTTTAAATATTTTATACTTTTGAGGGGAATGACACAGAGAAACACTGTGGTTGCACAGTTTAGAAGTTATGTACCAGAACATATAGAAAGCCAGAGAAGGAAGATTCCCAGATAAGAATGAGTACAGAGAATCCAATCTTAGTCTCACAAAGAATCTGGAAGTTGAAGCCATTACAAAATGGGTGGGGTGGGGTGGTGGTGTTCAAAGCCTTCTCTGAAAAGCCCTCACTATAAAGCAGTTTTTGATGTCTGTTTGCAATCTCATACCTCTCTGTTGGAATTGGAGGAGAGAATGGATGGAAGTCCAGTTGTTTCAATCCACTGAAAGATCTACATACACCAGTAGAATGAATTTCCCTTCCCACTGTGGCCCACTGCTTTCTCATCTAGATGTGCTTAAAGAGCAGATCAACTTGAGAAGCTTAGGATAAGTGCATGGGGAGATACATTGGGGAGAGGATGGGAATGATCTATGGTGTTACCCGAATTTTGTTTGCACAGTACTGGATATTTCTCTATCACTTTTTGTTCTTATCATGAGCTGCTTGTTCCTATAAGGCTATTTTTTGCTGCTTTCTATACCCTGAGCAGAGGAATGGTGGCAGACAGAGGCTAAACAAAAGAGACAATATACAGTATTTAAAGCAAACATTTTCCTTACATGGAGATGAATGACTGACCTATGCAAATGACTCTTTTCTTGCTTCATTAGATGGAAGAGTTTCGAAGACTGAGGACACATGTTAAAGGAGCAGAACTCCTAGAAGGCTGTGATGGACTATTAGGAGATAACTTTAGACCAACCCAGCCACTTAGCGACAGAGTCATAAGGGCTGCCTTCCAGTAGCAGAAACAAATAGTGAAAATAATCATAATATAGGTAAGTAAAATAAAAAGAAGCAAAATGACAAACTGTGTAAATCTGATATAATTTTCATATAGATGAAATACTTTTGTCTGGAGTGGAATGCAATGGAAATTCATGGAATTTTAATAAACATCATCACTGTATATGCAGATTTCTAGATGAAATAATGATGACAACACTATACTTCTTTACAAGATAGCTTGCAAAAATGATAAAAGCAAAAGCTTCACTATGTGTTATTTAATTGAATAATATAAAATAGCATTGGATGAAATTATTGGGGGCTAGCAATACAATCAATAAAACATTTTAGCTTAATAAGAATCTGTAGGAACTTTCTTCAATCTGATACTTTCTAGATGTTTTATTTATTTATTCAATTTATATGCTGTCCTATTAGCCATAGGCTCTCTGTGCAGCTTACAACACAATAAAATTCACAGTGTACAACCCAATATACAATACAGCATGCATACAATACAGCATACAGTAAAATCCACAATTTTCAATAAAATCAGGCAGACAATAAAAATTGATAAATATAAATGATGAAAACTAAGACAATAATGGAACAATAAAATAAATAAATAAGGTAAACATAGGATCAAAAATAGGAGAACATAAACCAATTAAAACATATTGCGGACTACATTTTGGACTATTAGCCATGGTAGTTGGAGCTAGAGGGGGCTGAGGTGCAATGACATTTGGAGGTCTGTTGGTTCTGCCCCCAACTAAAATGCTGCAAGAAATGGGGGAGGGGGTGGGGGACTAAGTTTACATAGCTCTAGGTAGAGGGTATTCCACAAGTGTGGGCCCTCTATCGATCATCTTGATCAATGTGAGCAATAGGCCAGAGAGTAAGGCTTCACAAAAAGGGAAGAATAATCAGTCTGTGAAGTGTTGGTCCTATTTGTATAATGTTAATGAAGGAAGGTGTTAAGAAATTTGACTTTATAAATTCTCTTTCCTTAAACCTGTTCTTTCAGTAACTCTGGGTGAAACTAGATGATACATTGGAGATCCATGATGGGATAAAGTATTTTATTTATTTATTTATTATTTGTAGAGATGTCTAAATTGGATTGGAAGCACAGTGTTGTGGAGGGGTAAATTTGCTACACTGCTACATCAATTTTTGTTAAACCAATTCTTTCTACTGTTGTATTTGTCCTGTTAGGGAAAATATATTCATTTCCTATGTTTTCTCTAATAGGGCAAATACCACTGAAAATGTGGAAAATTTGGCATGTAAGAAATGGTGTGAGGAGAAGTTTAAAGACTTCTACCCCTAGCACTGTGGAGCCAATCCAATACAGCATGTCCAGCAGCTGGTCTTAGAAGAGAAGGGAAAGCTCATCTAGTGGGTACCTAGATGCTGGTACTAGGTAGATGAAGTGGAGAAGGTTTAGATCTTCTGCACTGTGGAAACATGTATGATGCTGACAGTAGCACCCTTGTCTCTACTTCAGCTGACTGGCACCTAAAAGTCAGGGTGGGAATTCTGTTTCCCCCTGTATTGCCATGAAAAGGCAAACAGGGGTTTTGCCTAGTAAACTGGCTACTTCTGGTTACAATATAAGGTAGTTTGTTCTCAGCAAAAAAAGGAAGTGCAGTGGGTGGACAAATGGATTTAAGGAGACCTGATGCAAAGGACAATAGAAACCCTTACTTTTAACAGTTGTGGAAAAGTTGGATTTAGGTGTTACTTTCTTACTCTTGCACAGCAAACCTCACTTCCCTAAAATTTCATCTTTCACACAATGATTAAAAACATAAATGCACAGAAGAGGAAATAGAGAACATAAATGGTAAAATAGGCTAAGTAGATCCTATTCCAAACTGAATTAAAAATGAGTCCCACATCCAAAAACTATGCACACTATTACATGATGCAGAAGTCTGCAAGCACTGAACCACTGTCCTCTCTTTACTGCAGGTTTCTTTCTTTCCTTGCTTTCCTAATGTAGACAAACCCTTCACCATACTGGAATTTCTATTATATAATATTCTTTGGCAGTCACAAAATATAATTACTTTATTCTTGAAATGAATGATTTCAAATGTGAATTCCTGCATAGAGATTACTTGAGGGGGCAATCACAGACATGTTCATAAAATTTTATAATGTCCTAGGGCCATTGCCAGTAATTCAAATTTCATCAACAGTGAAGTCATTTGACAAGATGACTTTGAATTTTGAGCATGCTGAAGTTATCTTTAATAATATATCGATCTGAAATCACAAAATTATTTCAAAACACTTGACAACGTCTAAAAATATTTCCTGGGAACTATTTAGTTATCTTGGCCATAATTTATAAAATGGCATGCAATTTTAGGTTCCACAGAATTGAACTGAATATGGAATATGTTGCTGTGAACTGAAAGGCTAATTTAGTGCCTTGTGATGCAAATGATGTGTTTTTCCCACATTATTTTATTCTGTATGGAGTGTTTAATTCTATATGGGATTGTATTTATTATCTAGAATTAATTTTACTGTTTTCCCATTTGGCTTAATTTTCAATGGATGCTGCTCCTTCACATGTTCATTGAACAGGTGCGGAGTTTTGTGAGCAATGCTAAGGTATCATGGTTTCTCAGATAACTGTAGGTTGATACAAAAAGTCAGCAACATACTTTCAGAAACAGTTGCATATGGTTTGTCTGCAAATCAGTAGCATCTAGAGCTGAATAGTGGGATGGAAAAGGAAGTTTAATTACCTCACAATTGCAGAAGGACAAGCTATCAAGATGGATGATAGGAGAAAAACACTTTACTAGCAATTGATAATCTATCTGGGCTGTTTCTAAGCGATATCTACTGTCAATGAGGTATTTACTGTCAGTCAGGTGGAAGCATGATGGGAACATGGAAACTAGTTAAGAAAACACTGGTAAACTTTCTTAAGTTATCTCAGCAATAAGTGTTAAATACAAAGACTGGAATGAAATGTCTCTCAAAAAGGAGAGCTAGCAAGACTACATCTTATTATGCAGTAATACTGAAAAGAATAGGTTCCACAAATGCATTGAGACTGAGACTGATTTAAGACTGAGAAATTGATTAGTAGGATGCAGCAACAGCACATTGCATTAGAGTATGCACTATGTGATGTGGCCCTTTCAATAATGTCCTTGAATGAGAGGGTCCTACCCTGGAGAAGGGCATTTGAAAGAAACCCTAATGCAGAAAGAGTGAAGTGGGGGAGGTTTCAAGATGTGAAAACATGAGGGCAAAAATCTGGGTAATAAGATCCGATTCAGTAGGGATCATCTGGGTCCCTGCACTTTATTTCAGCAAAGTGCCTTTGGATACCAGGGTGGTGAGGCAGGGGCCTTTCAGAGATTCAAGGCTCTAAATGAAAGATTCAGGGCTCCAGCATGTCTCCTAAAGCGACTGCTGAAAGCCATATAGCTTCTGATATTGGAAGGATAATATAGATGACATCTCTATGTTTCACAGTTAGAGTAAAATGCAATGTTTACATACTCATGGTCCTTCAAACATTAGAACAGACTTCACATATACAATGGAAGGCAAGGGGACTACTGCCTGAACAATATAGTCTTTCAGAAGGACTCATCACTTTTCAGGATATAAGGTGGGGCTTGAGTAAGTTTTTAAGCTCCAAAGGCCACATGTGATGCTGGCTCAGGGGCCCCATTCATGCACATTCACACACGGACAGATACGTACTCATTCTTATACACATCACTCTTCTCTCATTGCTAACAACAGTGAATAATCAGTAGGAAAATACTGGGAAAGGTTATGGGGAGTTTACTTGTCATTCCCAGGGACTCTGATAGAGAAGGCTCTTTCCTTTCAGCTAGTGGATCAGGAAGGAAGTGAGCTATGCAAGAATTTCTGGAAGAGGGAGAGGAAAGTTGTAGGTAATTTAGTGGTAGCGATAGGATCAGGGCACCCTTGAAGGACCTCACTAAATACCTTGGCAGCATGTGTCTCAAAGCCACAGGTCATGTAGACCTGTGACAAATGGAAGACCTTTTTCAGTGTAATAACCCTCTCCTAAAGTATTGGAGTAAGGTACAAAGCATACCACTGAGTTAAGCATTCATTTTTATTATAAATCTGCTGAAACCATGGCAAAAGTGGAAGTGTTGTTCAAAGGGGCACAGCAGGCCTTCTGGAAAGTATCTATGCCTACACTCTCATTTCAGTATCTTCCTGGTACCTTGAGGATTGAAGCCCAGTACAGTACAGTACAATGAATGTTACATGAACACATATAAGGGGAGCTGCAAGATTGTGTCTACTAGCTCTGCCTAAGTGCATTTCCTAAAACTTATGGAAAACAAACACAGTAAAGAACAGCTTGTACATATGCAAAGAAACTTTCAGCTGCTTTTGTATTTGATTTGGGGATATATAATCAGTTCCAAAATTAATTCACTGTCATTAAAAAGTCTTCTGAATGACTATTCTAACTTGTTTTCTTACTAAATCTGTGGGTAAAAGTGGCATTTGTTTTGGGAAAAGCAAATGCCTTGTTATTTTCCCCATGTTTATGATCCATATGGCACCAACTGATACGGTGAGTTAGCTGGGCCAGTACTTTAACTCCAAAGAGTAAAAACCTGGAGGCACTCAGGGAATATATATAACCATCTGGTGGCAACTGCATGAATCATGAAGAAAGGACTGGGTATGTTGGTTTGCAAGCTTCCCCATGTCCCATAGCGCAGGCTATAGCTCATGTTTTACCACATGCAAAGGCTTCTTCCCAAAATGTTGAATGCACATTGGGGCAAGGAAGGTACCAGTATCCCACTGTACTGCATATACATGTAACATGTTTGCAGTCCTCATGTCATCTCTAAAATAGGGGCTGACAAGTACATAGCAAAACCTGTAAAGAAACCCGTAAAAACTAGCAAAGATGACATAAAATTATTTTAACAGTATTTTTGTGGTGTCTGTCTATCATTCATATGGTTTAATAAGCATTTGTTGTTGTTGGTAGTTGCAAAGTCGCGTCTGACCCATTGGGACCCCATGGACAACACTCCTCCAGGACTTCCTGTCCTCCACCATCCCCCGGAGTCCACTT